TTTCCGCGATAGTCGAACACCGCTAGATTCAATAAGAGATAAACTTGTGACACTGATTTATTTTGTTATTGTTCAATGCCCGAGTGTTGGGACGACATTGTACAGTGCGAGTTGTTTGAGGAATGGTTACACATGAGCTTCGAGAGATTTAAGACTGCCCCGGAGGGTGAGTGGCTCCGCATTTTCTGCAGATCGCCAGACTCTAGACGTCTTCGTAATTGTTAAGGTGTTATTTCGGATCCCTCAACAGTAAATAATCGTTCAAATTAGAAAATAAGATTGAGTTCTATGTAATAGTCTCCACTTTGGTTAAGACGTAGACGTTAAAGTTGATTTGCATCTGAAAATAAGCTGAGAGTTCCAATAGTTCAGAATGGAAATTTACTTATCATAGGCTTTACGAACGACTTGTAGTAAGAGTGGTTTCTTCGTTCTTGTTCAGAAACTGTTTAATGTTATTATTTTAGAAAATCTGACAGAGTTATTTTTATGACTGGACGCAATAGTCTCCACTATTGTTATGACGTTTCGTACCAATGTTGATTCGCATCAGAAGAAGCAAAGATTTATTGTAACTATTTCTATTGTTCGAATGCAGTAGTTTGTTCACATCTAATTCTTGCGTATACTGTACGACTCGCTATAATAAATGCCGTAGAATTGGAACGAACTGGCTGGTTTTGTTTTGCTTTTTTTACCTTTATTGAGGAATGTGTGTTGTGATTGAGAAGAACATCGACAAAAAGCTTGCAAATAGAATTAGTTACCAAATATGATAAAAAGGATGCTTAAAAGGAAAGTTTGGTAGGGGTCCAAATCCGCGGGGGGTCCAAATCCGCTGTGACACCTGCATTCCAGGAGAGAAATCAGGGCTGAAATACCCAAAGCCACTCCAATCTTTGCTTTCCATGAATCAAGTAAACCTTTTTAAAAGTTAAAATTCTCATTAAAATATTATTAAGTCCATTTTAATAACTTTCGATTCTAATTCGTTACACTAACTAATTTTGGTTTCAATTTGTTGAACCCGCGAAACAGGCCATATGGCAAGGAGAAAAATTTGCACAACCACGTCACGCAATATATCAAACTGGGTTTGTCCAGTTGATTTTGATGGTCGTAGGGAAATGTCGAGTTTGTCGCTCAAAACCGTTGTGGTCGATAAGAGCGTAACATAATTAGTGATGGAAACAAATCTGCGGGAAGGAGGGTTAGTTCATTGGAATCCGTTTACCAAATCTCGGAAGAAATTGCATGAATTATTTCAGAGAGTATGCGTGTTGTTTTGTAAATATCAACACTGTAACCTATCTTAACTTGTTTTTGTGTCCTTTTAAGCGACGCGATATGTCTGTTATGACCAGAGGGCCCAATTTTATATTTTTAATTTTGATCTTCTCCACCTGTGCGTAGAAAAGTTTGGAAAAAAACGACTTAAAAACGTACTTGCTTCGCACTGCAACTTACTTGAAATGTGGTAGAGATTTCATTAAAAGGGAAAAGGGAAGTGAGGTAGTTCCAGAATAAAACAAGCTGTCCGACTTTACTTTAAAGATCAATAATAATAATAAATAGATTTCACAATTGGCAGAGTTATGCATCCCATGGTTACTTACCAAGAGGTGATAGGTGGCGATCACAGCAATAACGGAGAGATGAACAGTCGTGCTGTAGCTCTAAGCGAGGGTTCAATATATTATAAAAAGTTTGCGACGTTCGGTAATTCTGTTGTTCTTAATGCATAACGTAATGTCTACACTGGCTTTTGAAAGATGTATCAAATTATTCCACCTGCTTGAAGAACTCATTTAGGCAATCACTTATTTAAATTAGGAACTGAGCAACGTATTTTTCTGACAACAGGCTGTGGATTAAAATAGTTGTTATGCTATTTCGAAGTTACAGAAACGCAGCAATTGCGTTTATTTAATTTGGACTTAGGGACGAGGAAAGTCAGATAGGGTTAGGCTAACGTGTTACACCATACTGGCCCAAATTTTCTGAAGCAATACAATGTATTTTCATGAATTAATGTTATTAATTCTTCGAATTCCTAGGCGAGCAAGTAACAATAAACCTTTGAACTATTGGAAGAGACTAACTATTTATATTACTTTGATTTTCATGCTTTTCGATATCAGTAAAAAGGAATACTCTGAGGAATGGTAGTATCAAGGAAAAGGAATGTAAAAAAATACATTTTTAGACATGGGTTCTTTTGTGTCTTCTTGTAAGTGCACCCATTTGCGCGATGAATGCACAGCTTTTCTTTCCTATTATTTCACTATCAGAGAAAATTCCTTTTTCTTTCAAAGAGGTTTTCCAAAAGTATCGTGAAAAGCAAATCAGTTTGAATTGATTGATCCAAGTAAAAACTAAATCCCAACACCGCAGTTTAAACCATGTTAAAGGAGATAAAGGGAAGCTTCTATAGTTGTGAGAAATTTTGAAGATATAAGCGAACCAGATTTCATATATTTTCGTCAATAATTTTAAAAGGTCATTTACCAGGTTCTAAGATCAACGGGTACCTGTTACCACCAGATAAGTCAAGAAATGAGGGCGGACCTTGCGCTAAGTTCCGAAGTAGGTTTAGAATATCCGATCGACGATTTTCCCTAAAGTTGGAGTTATCAAAGTAAATTTAACCAATGGAAAGTAAAACTAGTTCGAGTTAGTCGTGTTCGAGTTAGCTGATAGTAAATGACTGGAAAATGGGTTCAAACTCAGGGGGAAATCGCCACATAGTGATTAAAGAAAAGAGATTAAATCTGTATTAAACAGACCTATGGCAGAGAACAGGGATTAAAGAGGAACGTAAAGGACAGAGTCTCCGGTGCCTTCCCCTTAGCGTTGGAAGTTCTTTAGCTAAATCACACCTATCTGCGCCTTGCCAATACTTTAAAATTGACATCAAACAGGTATCAAGTTATAACATCAGTTTAAAGGTACTGATCTGGATTCATATACGGTCAGTTGGTTTACAGGTTAGTACCTCGTAAGAATCAGAGTTAGAGTTTGGTAGAAGTGATGAGATTCAGAGTCTGCCACATAGTGATTAAAGAAAAGAGATCGAATCTATATTAAGCAGACCTGTGGCAGAGAACAGAGATCAAAGAAGAACTTAAGGGACAAAGTCCCCGGTGCCTTCCCCTTAGTGTGGAACATTCTCTCGCTAGATTCCACCTATTTGCGCCTTAAAAATCCTTTGAAATTGACATCAAACAGGTATCAAGTTACAACATCAGTTTAAAGGTATTTAAATGGGAAGTCGTTGACCGGAACGGAAAGGAATTCCGGAAATTGTTATCATAGTAACACGACGTTGGTAAGAAAGATAGTTGTCATATGTCGCCTTTCATTTTTGCAATAAGTATATGTTTTAATATGAACCCGGTTAAACAAGCATGAGTCAATATAAATTTGGTCAGGTTAGTATGTTACATCATGAATGAGAAATTTACACCGCAGATTAAGTAACTGATTTTTACTGAAAATATGCAGGAGTTAATAAACTCAGGTTATTATCACTTAAAAGAAATTAACCTTCTACATGGCAATGACGGGATTTGTAGCAAAATGAACCTTAACTCACATCCTTATTTCGGCTTCCCCTTTTCAATGATTTTAAACTAAAATCTTCAGTGCTCGGACACGTGTTATTGAAGGAAAGAACTGAATTCTTTATTACGCGAAATTATTGAAAGGAAAAAAATGGAACT